GGTGGCGGAACTTCGATGCCGTCACTCCCTTGGGGCAGCGGTGCCAACACGTCGTTGTACGACTCCGGATCGTACGGTCCCGGTACGGCAGCGCCCGTGGTGACCCATCCAGGTGCGGTGGTTGGCGCGTCCAGCAGCTCTAGTAGCTCGTCCCAACCATTGGGGCTCTGTCCATCGTCCAAGTCGTACGACAGCAGCGTAAATGACACCCCCGCCATGTCAAGAGACGTCATGTACGGCCCGACGTACAAACGGTTTACGGTTGCCCCGTATTCCCGCCGTAGCATCGTCAGCGCCTCCCCCGTGACGACAGACATCTCCAGGGGGGTTGTGGCGCCCAGGTTGTTGACGAGCAGTACGACACGTGGACCTTCGGCCCTCAAGCGGAAAAACGGCCCCCTCGTCAGTTGTACGAGCATGCGCCGTACGAGATCTCCCGCCGCCGGCGGCGGATACTCTTTTGTACGGCCGGGTTCTCCGTGAATTCCCAGTCCCAGCTCCACCTCGTCTGGACCCAAGCTGTGAAGGGGCCGGGGGCGGGGCCGGGGGTTTGGGTGCGCGCGTGTGTGTATGTATGTATTTGTGTGTGTTGATGGGGGCCCGGCTGAATGGTGCGTGTGTTTTCCAAGCAAAGAGTTGAGTCCATCAAAGAACTGAATAGCCGCGCGGAGGTGTTGTGAAAGTGAAGGGTGTAAAGCACCTCTGACATCAACACGTGCGGCCCCTACGTGTGTATCCCGCGTGTGTGTTTTGATTGCCAGCCCCTTCCCCCTTCTTCCCCTCACCGGTCTGAGGTGGCTTTCCCGGGCAGTGTGCACACCGTAAGGCCCACACCCAAGGTGGCAATACCCGCCGCCACTCGTACGGCCACGTCAGCAACCTCCCGGAGGGATAAGCCCCGGGAAGCGGCGGCGCCAGCAGCCTGTGCGTGCGTGTGTGTGTATGTGTATGTGGGGTGGGTGGGTGAGTGAATGCACGTGTGTGTGTGAGAGAGCGAGAGAGAGAGAGAGAGTGCACAAAGGGGGAGAGGTTTAGTAAGCGCGCAGCAGCAGTAGCACTGCGAGGTGGAGGAGAAGGCGGAGGAAAAAGAGGAGGGGGCCTCAGTTGCAGTACATTGGGTTAGCGGCACTACTAACCACCCTACTACAGCGGCACTAACCACCCAGCACTCCGTCCCCAACCCCCTAAACACACGCTCCTCCTACCCCATATTCGCCCCGTCCGCAATTTTTCCCTCCCCCCTTCCCCTCCCTCCCCCCCCCCC